GTGTCCACTTGGCATGGAGCTGGATTCCCCCTCTCCCTGCTGGCAGTCCTTTGAGAATGAAAGAGCTGCCTGCTGGAAGACAAGAACTCCTCCAGCAGGCTACAGAAATGATGGTCAGATCCTGAAGACCTGAGCTCTGTTCCTGCAGCCCTTCAGAAGGTTTCCCTTCCACATGTAAAGGTGAGCTGGTCAGCAGGTGGCTCCTTTGCTCTGTCTGTTTAATAGAAACTGAAGAAGCTAAAGTGGTCTGGGGTTTTAGAATTCAAACAGACAGGCATCTGCTGCATAACAAACCAGACTTAACAATAGTCAGTTATAAAGACTCTGGATGATGGACCTGGAGACAGCAGAATAGAAGGCAGAAACTGGAGAAGATAACAAAATATAAAGATCCACAAATAGAAATAGAATGACTAACAAAAGAAAGAAAAGGTAATCCCAATAGTCACAGGCACCTTGGGAGCCATCCCAAAACAACTAGAATACCACTCGGACATCATCGGCATTGACAATTTCACCATCAGTTAACTGCAAAAGGCAATTACTTGGAACAGCTTGCATCCTGCAATGATACCTCTAAACCCCCAATATCTGCCTATCCCATGTCATTGGGAAGGACTTGATAGATGGACAAAAAGGCCAAATCCAATCTGAATAGCTACCTGACTGTGTGATGAACCAGAATAATATTTTAACATGACACTGTTAAACATGATTACTTTCCAATAGTGTATTTCACTGATGATAATTTTAACTAAATTAAAATTAGTTTTTATTTTAATTTCTTCATCATGTCTTGATGTACTACTCCCAGCACAGGTACAGCTTTTCAGAAAAAAGTTTTATGATTCTTATAATTAATTGAAGACCTCACATTTGAGGCATTTGTATTTGGCTTATGGTAGCCATAGCAAATTTAATTGTTATATTGATAGCTTAATGTTCAGGCTATTGTTTTTTATTGTTCTTAACTGATTGTCTGATAACACAATTCCTGGTAAATATTTTCTGTTTTGTTTATGATTTAAGTATGCTACTTATTATTTTAAGCCTTATATTATTCCTGCTTAGAAGTGGTTCAGAAAAAGTCACAGCTTAGAATTGATCCCAAAACAAGATTATAATGATGAAATGCATACAAACTCTAATCCCCTTCTCTAGTCCAGGACTGGCTTTACTTGGTTTGTGTA